TCGAGAGGACCCTATAGTGGCGTAGCAATCTTAGTTAAATTAGGCTATGCATTTAAAAATATTCATGTTGATGAAGATAACATTCTTGCAATAGAAATGACAATGTCTCATGGCCAACTAGTGATAGGAACTGGATATTTTTTCCCAAGACAACAATATATAGAGTCAATTCCTCTACATAGGATATTAAGCAGAAATATTCCAACAATTCTAGCGGGAGATTTTAATGCTCATCACCCTGCCCTCTTTAGCTGTGAAGCTGGTAATCCACTGGGTGACTTGAAAGGAAAACAACTATTTAATATCATGACAGCCAGAAACTTGTCATTTCAAGGCCCATTCTTTAAATCATATATTGGTCCTCATCCAGGGACATCAGATATAGTCCTGACAAACAGAGACTGTGACCTCTTTCATTGTCGTATCTCACCTGGTGGAAACGTAGGATCTGACCATATCCCTGTTATAATACAACTACAAACTTCTCCATTTAGAATACCTGTACCTTCTAAACCCAATCTCAACACCCTAGGATTTGATCCCTTCAGGGCATATCTGGGTGAAGATGAAATTGTGTCGTTGGAAAATCTACCTTCCACTGCAATTGATAATGTGATCAGGTCCCTTCACAATCGAATAATTGATGCTACTAATGCAACTTGCCAATTAGCTTCCACCAAGATCTACCAACAGTATAAACCTATGAGGGAAATTAGAGACAGTATGAGAAATAATCAAACAGAATGCCGAAGGCATCTTCAGACGCGGCAACCACCAGTAGCTACATTGTATAGATTGAGGCAAGAATTAATTAACATGATTAGTCATCACAAATGTGACATGGAAATTGCTAGTTCTAAAAGCTAATCAGTGCAGACGAAAACCTGAAAAATTTTGGAGTAAGATTCGGCAACTTTTAGGTGCAAAGCACAAGGCTCCTACCTACCTAATTCATACCTTCACTGATGATGATGATGATGATGATGAGGTTGATATTAAACTTGATGATCCACAGGAGAAAATTCTCTTCCACAATAACAGTTGTCGATTTAATAATAATCACTATCAGTTGGTCAATGAATGGAGAGATGAGAACTTAGCTGATCTACAACCACTACCTTCCATCGATACATCAACTCTTGAAGACGCCCACCCGCTTACTAGACCTATCACACTACTTGAGATGAGTCAGGTTGTTGGAAGAATGCGAAATAGAGCCCCTGGTCTCTCTGGAATAACAATGAAACAAATAAAGTTCCTACCCAGAAATTGTAAACAGTCTTTGGTTAATATCTTGAATACCATCTTGGCCTCCGGACATTTTTCAGTGGTTTTTAAGACTGCTAGGATGATCTTTCTGGCTAAACCCATTAAAGACATCCATCAACCAGGGAATTATAGACCTATATCTTTACTTGAAGTCACTGGGAAAGTTCTTGAGAAGATCATTTCCAACAGGCTGAACTACTATATGGAGTATAATCACCTTTATACTGAAAAACAGTTTGCCTTTAGGACACATAGAGGTGCCCATCATGCAATAAATATTATTTATGATACTGTAGCGAGTCTGAAACTTCAGGGCAATCTTGCCCTAATTGCCACCAGAGATGTTCATAAAGCTTTTGATAGCTTATGGCATGATGATCTTATATATAAACTTATTGACCTACCAGACCATAACTGGACATTTCTCAGATGTATATATAGCTTCCTAACTCAAAGAAAAGCCATTCCTACCTTTCATGGCAGGTCAACGGAGCCTTTTATATCGACAGCTGGTGTCCCACAAGGTTTTTGTCTTAGTCCAATTCTATTCAATATTTATGTGAATGATCTTCCTCAACCAGAGTTTAATGATACAGTTATAATGCAGTTTGCAGATGATGTCATCCATGTTGTCTCATCAACTCCTGTAACAGGAAAATACAAGTATGAAAGAGTCATAGAAAAAATGAATATTGAACTTCGTCAAACATCCAATTGGGAAAAGAAATGGAGAATTACGACCAACCCTGACAGTCCTGGTTAGCATGACAGGATGTTTTGCATCAACCATTGAAGATAAGGGGGGTATCTCCATCAGAGGAACACCTGTAGCCATTAGAAATTCTAACAAGATCTTGGGATATGAAATAGACAGGCTGCTCCACTCAACATCTCACGTCAATAAAAAGATCAACATAGCCAAAGCCGGTCTTAGCATCCTCTTTAGATTTAATCAAGCCCCTACATATGTCAAAAAACATCTGTATAAAATGATGATGAGACCAACACTCGAATACCCATGTGTCCCAATGTCGTTAACAACAAAGACCAACATGCTAAAGTTGCAACGGGTCCAGAATAGAGCTCTCCACTTCACTACGGGTACCAGGAGGAGAGACAGAGTCAAAATGGCAGATTTACACATACAACAGGATATTACTGCCTTAAATGTACGCCTTGATACGCTGAAGAAGAAACAACTCTATGCAATGCAAGAACTCTACATGCCAGATAGAGAACATCCTCTCCAAGTTGAAAATACCACTGATTATATCATCAATACTCCTCCTCACAGGACCCAAAGAATGACTCTCCCACAGAGGGTGCGTCGCTTCATCCATAACGACGATTACCATCGACCAATGATCTTGAGCAACCTCCTTGCAGATGAAGATGATTGGGTAACACCAGAACCCTTCTGTGTCTACTAAGAAAATCATTGCCCCCAGTTAGGGAGATATCTTGTATAACAGTTCTACTGTTAAAATTATGCTATATTTACCATGGAGGGACACCACCTTGAAAGAAGCTAACGTGTCTAGTAATTCTTTACGAACTGTCCAGACAATTACCGCCTTGATTGTCGTTTAAATATTTGTTGTGCAATCGCAAAAAAAAAAAAAAAAAAGGCAATTGCAACTTGTAGTATATTTACTACCAATTCAGAGTCATGTACCTATATATGTGTTATATCTATGTGACTGCTGGGTTAGTATTATACCCCTTAAAGAATATTCTATTATTCCACATACACTTTTTAAATTGCACCAGAGTGGTTGGGCCACTTACCTTTTATATCCTACCTCACTCTCCCCTCCCACCCTTTTCCAATATTTCTATCCTTACCCATCTTACCAAAGACTCTGGTCATAAGAAGAAGTAGTCTGCATAACAGTAAATCTTCTATTTTTTGTTTGAATAAAAATTCAAAATAGAAAGCAAGAGTAATATCAGAGGGGCCTGGAGATGTGACTGATGAACAAAGAAAATGCTATTTTAGAGCCAGGAATGTCTGCATTGTTCATTCTGGACCTTATTTTGAAATTGTCATATTTTTTTAATTTTCGTGAAATTGGCCAAATTGCAAATTTCTGACCACGTATTGGGTAGTTGAAATCGGTAAATGGGCAGTTTCTTGTACTCAATCAATAGAAAAAATGGAGTTCTAAAGAAGTAGCTATGAATTTGGTCGACTGGAACAATGGAATTAAATATCGCCGAGGTCGCTAACTTCGCGAGAGCGTAATTCCGTCAGTTTTCCAGCAAATTTTATGTTTTTGGTGTCATTACAATTGGGAAAAGATTCTCTATCATTTCATAAGAAAAAATATTTTTTTTTTTTTTTTTAAATTTTGCGACACCAGGAGACACTTCAGGATTGGGGGTTGCGACAGTCAAAGGGTTAAAGGAACGGGAGGTACAGACCTCTGTAGACAGATTTGTTGTGCGACAGAGGTCCAGTGACTCTTAAGCTGGTCCTAGTGGCATTAAAAGAAGAAGGGAAGTAACCCCGGAAAAGGACTTGATACCTCAAGTCTTAATGGAAGGGGATTCCCCTTCTAAACATTAACAACTTCCACAATCTCCCCTCCTCCCATCCCATCAATCATCATCAGATCTTCAATAAAGGTAAGTATCAGTTAGTGTGTATTAAAATTAATATTTCATGTGGTAAAATTTTTTTTTTTCATACTTTGGGGTATCTTGCACGGATTAATTTGATTTCCATTATTTCTTATGGGGAAAATTAATTCAGCTAACGATAATTTCAGCTAACGATGAGCTTTCAGGAACGGATTAATATCGTTAGCTGAGGGTCCACTGTACTTCCTTTTACCCATAATCAAACATGTATAGCCCTAAAACCAAAGGGAACACTGGACAAAAGATGGGGCAGATGAGAGGCAAAAGTGCAACACTTCCTTTCACCATGCCAGCCATGTGAGCACTGTGGAATCACTGTGGAGTGTAGCGGCAGGCCACGACGTCATGATGACGGCTGCTACCCGGCATAATGCACTGACGAAAAAAGACCCCCGTCTGTATGGTAGGCCTTTGATTTTCGTCACGGCATTATGCCGGGGCGCTCACCCTTCATAATTCCGGGACTAGCACTGTAATTATCAGAGTATACTATATAAAACATGAAATAACTTGAAAGCACCTGAAATTTTGGAAAGTTTCCAGACATAATGGACAGACACGGTGCTCACGGAGCTCATGGAGAATGTAAACAAACCAGGTGGGGCGCGGTGGCTACATTAGAAAGTCAGATGGTGGGGGAGCTGTATAGCGAGTTTTGGTCATGATTTGAAATGTCTGTATGTATTAGCAGAACACTGTAAAGTTTCAGTTATCCACTGTTTACTTTGGCCCCAAAAATAACTGTTAATTTTGCTTAATAATGGCCCAAAAAGTGCAGAAGTAGAGAAGCTGACAGTTTTTCAGAGCCTAAGAGGAACTGTGAAATGCTTCCCATCAGTGAAAAAGTGTTAATTCTAGACTTATTTTGCATAATTTATCATTTAAACTTTATCATCGGTATGTATGTAAAGGAAAAATGACATATATAGGGTTCGCTACTATTCACAGTTTCGGGTACCCACAGTAGGTCTTGGAGCGTATCCCCCACAGATGGGGGGACTACTGTATCAATTTTAATTAATTGTTGACTAATTCTTGTTGTGCTGTATGTTACTGTTACCATCACTAATGTATGTATTTGACTGCAGGTCATTCATCTATCCACTGGTGATGAAGAGCCAGAGGCCGGTTCCTTTTCTTACTTTTTTTTGTGCATTTTTAACCTGCTCTTATAATGGAATTCTTCATGGGCTCTATTTTGTCAATTTTTGCCACTACAAAAATGAAGAATGGATGTATAGTCCAACATTTTACATAGGTAAGGGCAGCTAATTTCTAATTTGGAAGTATTTTTTTTAACCCTTAAACGGTCCAAACGTATTTTTTCAACATTTGAAAGTATGTAAAAAAATGTACATCTTTTTTTTTTTACATTTGAAAAAGTGTAAAAATAACTTTTACCTACTTTTTTTTTGTTATATTTGAAAATATGTAAAAAAACATAGATCTACTTTTGGAGCACTACGGATTTGAACGTCAATCTATTTGGACCGTTTAAGGGTTAAACTAAAAAATAATCATAATGAATGTCCAGCATGAGGACAGAAAATATAGCTAGATCAATAAAGATAGCCAGTTCTGAGAATAAAGATAGCTAATTTTGAGAAATTCTGAGAAAAAAGACAGCTAATTGTAAAAATAAAGGTAGCTAATTCTGGGGAGCATGTGTGGTGTTTAAGTGATAAATTTGGTAAGATATAATTATCATTATAGGTAATAGGTTGGTAGACAGCAACTGCCCAGGGAGGTACTACCGTCCTGCTAAGTGAGTGTAAAACGGAAACCTGTAATTGTTTTACAAGACGGTAGGATTGCTGGTGTCTTTTTTTCTGTCTGATAAACATGCACGATTTCAGGTACGTCTTGCTACTTCTTCTTACACTTAGGTCATACTACACATACATGTACAAGCATATACGTATATACACACCCCTCTGGGTTTTCTTCTATTTTCTTTCTAGTTCTTGTTCTTGTTTACTTCCTCTTTTCTCCATGGGGAAGTGGAACAGAATTTTTCCTCTGTAAGCCATGTGTGTCGTAAGAGGCGACTAAAATGCCGGGAGCAAGGGGTTAGTAACCCCTTTTCCTGTATATATTACTAAATTTTAAAGGAGAAACTTTTGTTTTTCCTTTTGGGACACCCCACCTCAGTGGGATACGGCTGGTACGTTGAAAAAAAAAATTTATTATAATTATTAGTGTATTTTGTCTTTAACCCACCTACATGCGTGTCATAAGAGGCAACTAAAATGCCGGGAACAAGGCACTAGTTAACCCTTTTCTTGTATAAATTACTAGAAGCAATAAGATCACAGTAAACAGGTGATATCACAATATGCAGAACAACCACTGTGAAAATATAGTGAAATTCCAAGCGCTTTTGTGATTTCTTACATTATCCTTAAGAAATCACGAAAGCACTTGGATTTTCACTATTTTTTCACAGTGGTTATTCTGCAAATTACTGAATGTAAAAAGAGAAACTTTCATTTTTCTTTTTAGGTCACCCTGCCTTGGTGGGCAATGGATGGTTCATTTGAAAAAAAAATCTCATATTAATGGATTTTTAGTTTTTAAATAACTAGTTAAATTGTAAAAATTTATTGTCTATGCAGTATAGCCTTCATGAGTTTTGTGTTTCCCTTCATTGTAGTACAGCCTCTCCTCACTTAATGACAGGGTTCCGTTCCTGAGAGTAGGTCAGTAAGTGAATTGGTCATTAAGCAAGGAGCATGCTATACTGGTAGGGGGTTTGTGTCAACCATCTTTAAATATTACACCCTGTCCTCACTTGACGACGGAGTTCTGTTTCTAAGACCACGTCGGTAAATGAATTCATCGCCATTTATAACATTTCTGGTATATTTTTAACCCTTTAAGGGCTCCGTCCCTTAGTTCTACGGCTTTGAAACCTGGGTCCAAGCTGTAGTTCTCCCCCATGAGCTCAGCTCACTCAGATAAGCTGTGAGTGGTAAATTTGGGCCTAGATATGAGAGAATTCTTCTGTGTGGTAAATGTAACATTAGTAGCATTTTATTGTGGCAACAAATGTTGCCACAATTAAATGTCACATTAGTTGCACTTGTGTCGTTTTGCACAACATATTGTTGGTAATTCTACTAACATTATTACAAGACTTTTACTGCTTTCAGGATTTGCATTATTTCTTTATGGCATGAAGATCAACCTAGGGGCAGATTCAACTTTGAAAAATTTGAGAAGCGGAAACGAAACTGGCTACAAAATACCAACTGGTATGCATAACTGATCTTTTTATCAATGTTTTCATTACTGGCATTTTTAATAATAGTTGTAGCAGCTGATTATGTTATACTGTTCCCACTACACTGTTCATGTTACTAGTGTTTAACTACTGATACCTCTACCTCATCCCTCACTTTCTATAACCCACTTGACAGTTCATGAATGCTGTACTTTTTTTTTAATATGCTGGCTGTCTCCTGCCGAGGCAGGGTGACCCAAAAAAGAAACACTTTCACCATCATTCACACTGTCACTGTCTCTCCAGAGGCACACAGATATACAAATAACCCGCACATAAAAGAGAGAAGCTTACGACGACGTTTCGGTCCGACTTGGACCATTGACAAAGTCACACTAACCAGAGGTGGAGCAGGACGGCTATATATAGGCAGGAAGAGGTGGTGGTAGTAGTAGTAGTAGTAGTACGAGTTGTATATAATACCAACAAGATGAAATTAAGACACATGCACAACACCTGGGCATCACCATCATAGACGTTTCGCCATCCAGCCAGCCACTGGATGGCGAAACGTCCACAACAAAGACAACCAGACGCCGCACATGTGTCTTAATTTCATCAGTAGTTGTAGTAGTAGTAGAAGAAGAAGAGGTAGTAGTAGTGGTAGTGGTAGAAGTGGGAAATAAGGATGACGAGCCAGTCAAATACAAAGGAAGGGGAGCACTGCAAGAGAGCTAGATGCCCACAGAGGGAGAGCAAGCGCACAGAGGTGCGTGAAAGGGGAAGTGGTGAAATAAATGAAGAAGGAACAGAAACACGAGACAGGAGAGAAAAAGACAACCCAGAGGGGAAAAGGAAAGAGGAAGAAGAAGAAAAAGAAAAAGAAAAAATGAGGATTCAGGTTAAGTCACGGGTGTTCTGAAGTTTGGAGCATTTTACAATGTAGTGGGAGAGGAAGGCATCTACAGAGACGAAGCCAGGGCTAAGGTTCATACAAGGAAAGTTGTGTATTAGAGAGGATTCAACTAGACGGCGACTGTTCGAGTTGGAAGTAGGGAAGACAGTTTTAGCAGAAGACCAGTCAATAGGATGGCTGTGATCTCTGACGTGACAGAAAAGAGCATTGTTAGTGTCAGCAAGCCTAACACTATTTTTGTGCTCCCTAAGTCTGTCAGAAAGAGATCGACCAGTTTCTCCGAAGTATTGAAGAGGACAGGAGGAGCAAGAAATAGAGTAGACACCAGGAACATCTGTAGAGGGAGGAGAGGTATGAACGAGATTAGTGCGAAGAGTGTTAGTCTGGCGGAAGGTAAGCCCTGGCTTCGTCTCTGTAGATGCCTTCCTCTCCCACTACATTGTAAAATGCTCCAAACTTCAGAACACCCGTGACTTAACCTGAATCCTCATTTCTTTCCTTTTCTCCTCTGGGTTGTCTTTCTCTCTCCTGTCTCGTGTTTCTGTTCCTTCTTCATTTATTTCACCACTTCCCCTTTCACGCACCTCTGTGCGCTTGCTCTCCCTCTGTGGGCATCTAGCTCTCTTGCAGTGCTCCCCTTCCTTTGTATTTGACTGGCTCGTCATCCTTATTTCCCACTTCTACCACTACCACTACCTCTCTCTTCTTCTACTACTACTACAACTACTGATGAAATTAAGACACATGTGCGGCGTCTGGTTGTCTTTGTTGTGGACGTTTCGCCATCCAGTGGCTGGCTGGATGGCGAAACGTCTATGATGGTGATGCCCGGGTGTTGTGCATGTGTCTTAATTTCATCTTGTCGGTATTATATACAACTCTTGTACTACTACTACTACTACTACTACACTACCACCACCTATTCCTGCCTATATATAGCCGTCCTGCTCCACCTCTGGTTAGTGTGACTTTGTCAATGGTCCAAGTCGGACCGAAACGTCGTCGTAAGCTTCTCTCTTTTATGTGCGGGTTATTTGTGTATCGTTCCAGTCACGGTATTGTGCCTTTTTTGTTATTTATGCACACAGATATGACAGCTTAGATGTCGCACTAAACAGTAGATATCTCAAACCCCTTCCTTAACCTTTAAATTGTCCAAACATAGATCTGCATTTATGCGTGTAGCACTCCAACCTTGATTTTCTCCATTTGAAAGCATGTAAAAAAACGTAGATATACGTTTGGACAGTTTAAAGGTTAAAGTGTAGACATTGTATTTTCCACTTCCAGGACTCAATTCCAGCTAACCAGTTTTTCCCTGCAGCCCTTCACAAAATATTACTCTGCTCACACTCCAACAGCTGATATTGACCCCAATCTAAATCTTATATTGATTCAAATGTAGATATCATGAAACTTCAGGAGGATTTGACTTAATTCCTGGCCAGAAAAGTGGCAGATGCAGTTCACTGTAGATAAATGCAAGGTTCTGAAGCTCGGGAGTGTCCATAACCCAAGCACTTATCAGTTAAATAACGTTGAACATAGCCATACGGATTGTGAAAAAGGATTTAGGGGTTATGGTAAGCAGCAGCCTTAAACCAAGACAGCGGTGCCTAAACATATGTAATAAGGCAAACAGATTACTGGGATTTATATCAAGAAGTGTAAGCAACAGAAGTCCAGAGGTTATACTGCAACTTTATACATCATTAGTAAGGCCTCACCTGGATTAAGCAGCTCAGTTCTGGTCTCCATATTGCAGAATGGATATAAATTCGTTAGAAAACATTCAGTGAAGAATGACAAGATTAATTCATAGCATTAGAAATCTTTCTTATGAAGAAAGATCAAAGTCCCTTAAATTACATTCCCTTGTAAGACGAAGAATAAGGGAAGACACGATCAAAGTGTAAAAGTGGAAGATGGGTATTAACAAAGGGGATACAAATAAGGTCTTGAGGATATCTCTCCAAGAGAGAACCTGCAATAATGGTTTCAAATTAGATAAGTTTAGATTTAGAAAGGTTACAGTAAAATATTGGTTTGGAAATAGGGTAGTTGATGAATGAAATAGTCTGCCTAGTAGGGTTATTGAAGCTAGGACTTTGGGTAGTGTCAAATTTAGGTTGGATAAATACATGAGTGAGGGGTTGAATTTGAGTGGGACTTGCACATGAGTGAATAGAATTTTTTTTTTTTTTCAAACAAGTCGGCCGTCTCCCACCGAGGCAGGGTGACCCAAAAAGAAAGAAAATCCCCAAAAAGAAAATTCTTTCATCATTATTCAACTTTCACCTCACTCACACATAATCACTGTTTTTGCAGAGGTGCCCAGAATACAACAGTTTAGAAGTATATACGTATAAAAATACACAATATATCCCTCCAAACTGCCAGTATCCCAAACCCCTCCTTTAGAGTGCAGGCATTGTACTTTCCCATTTCCAGGACTCAAGTCCGGTTATATAAAATAACTGGTTTCCCTGAATCCCTTCACTAAATATTACCCTGCTCACACTCCTGTTTTAGGTGATTGGATGTTGTTGATCCCCATGCACAAATTCCATATGTAAGATAAGGGTATATGAGTGAATGGTACAGTGCCAGGAGAGCTGATTGTGGAACGTAGTACCTTTGATAGTATGCCTACAGTCTTAGAGATTTTCTTGGTGATTTGTTGTATGTGTGTCTGGAACTTAAGGCTAGTGTCAAGGTGGATACCTAGGAATTTTCCCTCTGTGAGTCTTGTGACTGATGATCCATATAGCGTCAGGTCCCAAATACCATTCGTCTCCATTCACTCCTGTTTAACATGCTCATGCACGCTTGCTTGAAGTCCAAACCCCTCTCTCACAACACCTCCTTTACCCCCTCCCTCCAACCTTTTCGAGGACGACCCCTACCCCGCCTTCCTTCCCCTACAGATTTATACGCTCTCCATGTCATTCTACTTTGATCCAGTCTCTCTAAATGACCAAACCACCTCAACAAACCCTCTTCAGCCCTCTGACTAATACTTTTATTAACTCCACACCTTCTCCTAATTTCCACACTCCGAATTTTCTGCATAATATTTACACCACACATTGCCCTTAAACAGGTCATCTCCACTGCCTCCAACCGCCTCCTCAATGCAGGATTTGCAACCCAAGCTTCGCACCCATATAAGAGTGTTGGTACTACTATACTTTCATACATTCCCTTCTTTGCCTCCATAGATAACATTTTTTGCCTCCACATATACCTCAATGCACCACTCACCTTTTTTTCTTCATCAATTCTATGATTAACCTCATCCTTCATAAATCCATCCGCTGACACGTCAACTCCCAAATATCTGAAAACATTCTCTTCTTCCATACTCCTCCTCCACAATTTGATATCCAATTTTTCTTTCTTTATTTATTTATTTATTTATTTTATGTCTTTGCAAACAGTACATTGAGATTTTATATTTACAATAGTGGGTTGAAATACAAAGAGAGCCTCTATTATGCCTAGGCATTATGGGCCAACTTAACATTATTGGCTTACAGTCTACTTAGCACTAAGGAGTATATCATAGTTGTATAGTAGGATAGTAATTATGAATGAATCAAAATTTGTATAATACAAAGATATATTTATATTTGAAAATACTTTTTGTGAAAACAATGATTCAATTTTATTCCTGTCAACAGTGGATAAAAGGTTCAAAGTGATGTTTCAGTTATATAACGATGTGGGATTACATAGGTGAGTATGTGTGTACTGAGTATTTGGTATTTAGTCTAGGGTGATAAGTGGCTTTTGAGAAGAGTCTTAAATTGATTTTCAGACGACTGGGTTACTTTAATATCTTCTGGTAATGAATTCCATATTTTAGGGCCCTTTATGTGCATAGAGTTTTTACACAGTGTGATATGGACACGAGGTATATCAAAAAGAGATCTGTGTCTTGTGTTGTGGTCATGTGTCCTGTTTAGGTTGGTGAGGAGAAGTTTGAGTGGGGGGTTTATATTTGCATGTATTGTTCTGTGTATGTAGTAGGCACATGAATAAGTATGGATGTTCTTAATGGTGAGCAGATTCAGACTTTTGAAAATTGGTGGAGTATGCTGGTGGGAGTGGGA